TGTATGTATGTACGCATGTGTGTGTAAACATACATATACGTGCATCTGACGGTTGAGGCTCCTAAATTTTAGAACCGTTGAGGATCGTCCAGAGAACCCTTGGAAACACCCATACCCTATTCGGATGATGAAGGCCCGTTTATCAATTTAAGGTTTAGGGTTTAGGGCTTACACGTAGGGTTTAGGGCTTTAGGGTTTAGGGGTGTATAATCGGGTTTGGGGTATAGATCTTGTCATAGAACCGTTGTCGATCCCGCAAAGAGCCCAAGCCCAAGCATGACGATAAAGGCTCCTTATCTTGCTCGTGGTGTTTGGAAACTCAAAGGTTCAAACTCAGGTGTGTTTAATATAGCAGTCTGTGTAGTCCTTACTATTGAACTGTATTCAAATAATTTGCCTTAAAAAAAACTACGAATGTAGGGCTTTTAGTTGGGTTTAGGTGAATACCTTTTGGGCCTTTGTTTTCGAGAAGCCCTCATCCTAGCCATAATACCTCCCCTTATAATTCCCTTACGTTTATGTTATAACATAGCCCCAAACCCGATTCTAATTCTTCAGGCTCCTGTAATTACTAAGCTTCTGGTAGACTTTTGCCCATCGTCGTAGACCCCAAACCCTATCAACCCTAGAGTAAATCTGAAACCCTAAACCCTAAAACCTAAACCCCTAAACCCCAAACCCTCCTAGAGGCTTGTCTTGTATCTCTCGACTCCAGGCTTCTCGGCTCGCACCGACTACCAGGAAGAAATTCCAGAGTTGGTAGTACTGTAGATCCAGAGAGCCCATGTACTTCACTACGATAGCAGACTTAAGGCGCATACTATGTCAATCTCAATTCTGAAGTTGATGCCGGATCCGTCTTATCCAGCAGATTTGGTGAAGTCGCGAGCTCTCTGGATAGAGTCAGTAGCAGCCCATAGATCCGACCTAACTACAATGATGAGCATGGTGGCGCCGGAACTATCGCGATTCCAGGCTGGGCACTAAATCCCAAGAACCTAGAACCCCCAAGCTCAAGCCTTAAAAGGCCTACATCCTAAGCCCCAAACCCTGAACCCTCAAGCCCTTTAAAAACTAAACCCTAGACCCCTAAACCGCTTGAGCCCCTAAACCCGGCATTCCCCACCCTAAACCCTAAAACCCTAAAGCCTAAACCTCGAACCCTAAACCCTAAACCCTAAACCCTAAACCCTAAACCCCTAAACCCTAAGCACTAAAGACCTGAAACCCTAAGCCCCCAGGCCCTGAACTCCATGCCAACGCCGCTGAAGCCGTTCGAGGCCTCTCTGAGCCTTATCCCACGAGGCTTTAGGATAGGATTTAGGGGTTATAGGGTGCTTAGTCAGGGTTTTTTGGGTTTCGGGCTTAGGGTTTAGGGTTCAGGGTTTAGGCTTTAGGATATAGGGGCTATAGGGTGCTTAACTAGGGCTTTTAGGGTTTAGGGTTTAGGGTTTCGGATTTAGGGGTTATAATAGGGTGCTTAATTAGGGCTTTTAGGGTTGAGGGTTTAGGATTTAGGGTTTGGGGGGCTTAACCAGGGTTTATATACAGTGTTGGGATTTAGAGGTCCCAAAAGACCTACCTTTGAAGGAACTATAGATAGAAGCCACAATAAGGAGCCCTAAAGAGGGTAGGTCTTTTCGGCTACAGATCGGGTTTAGGGGTTTAGGGTTTAGGGGAAGCTTTAATAGGCTATGGTCTGCGAGTGGGCTCGTTCTCCCCTTTTTTGTGGTCTTAGGTTCCTTACAAAACTAAGCAATCTCAGCACTTAGGGTTTCGGGCTTGTGATTTAGGGTTTAGGGTTTCGGGGTTGGCAATTAAGGCTTGATAGGGTTTGGGGTTTAGGGTTTGGGAATTCGGTTTAGGGGTTGGGGTTTGCCGTGGCATGGCGCGTAGGCGGCAAGGCCAAGTCCATGCTACAGTCCCTGTGACTCTGGGGTTGGGCTTAAGCGCCGCCCACCCACAGTAATATAGGGGCCTGAATAATTACCTGTACAATTTTGCGGGGTTCCTTATTCATATAGGGGCCTTATGAATTACCTATACTATTTCTTTTTCTTTTTTTTTTTGGGGGGGGGGGTCCTTATGAATATAGAGGCCGTAATGATTACCTATACTTTTTTGGTGGTTCCTTAGTATAATCATTATTCAGGCCACTACATTAGGTAGTGGGTGGCCGGCCTGTGCCTTGAGCTTAGGCTTACGGGTTTGGGGTGAAGGGCTCGGGTGGAGAAGGATCTCCATGAGGGTCCGAAAAGGAAGCCAGAAAGGTTTGAGTTAAGGCGTTTCGGAGGTTTACATTCTTGGATTGGGGTTTAGGGCTTAGCGGTTGGGGTTTAGGGTTTAGGCTTTAGGGCCCAATGCCTCTATTTGCTAGATCTGAGACCTACGTGCCTAGAGCTAAGGTTCTAAGATACTGCACAGTACAACCAAGACAACGCCACAGACCATCACAGACCTCAGGATCTTCAATGTTGAGTTTGGTGTAGGGGGTTGGTTCCTTTAAAAGGTATCAGTAAGGGTTCTCTATAAGGGATCTGAAGGCTTGGGGTTTGTCGGTTTTGGTTTAGGTTTGAGGGTGTAGGTATCAGGGTTTGGGGTTTAGTGTCTGGGGTTTAGGTGTCTTTTCCTCAGTTAAGGTTTTTGGTTTCGCGGGAAGCCTCCTTTACGTTTTGTGCCCACAAGTTCAAGAACCTCGACATAATTTGCCCAAAACCTTAACCCTTAAACCGTAAGGCCCTAGTCTCTAAGCTCTAAACTTTAAACCCTTAACCCTAAGGCCTAAACCCTTCCTATACCGGCCTTGATACGCAGATCCGGACTTCATTTTCAATCTCAAGCTCAGTCCCTTACTTCGTAAGTAGGTAAGAGGGGTTCTCTGTTGTAAAGGGCTCCTTGAAAGGGCTGAAAGGGTACCATTAGGGCTTCTATCACCTTCGACCCCGAACCCTAAACCGTAAACCCTAAACCCTAAACCCTAAACCCTAAAACCGTTTACCTCTAAACGGCTACTTCAAGGGTTTAGGGCATAGGGCTTGTTCGCGACTTAGTAAGCAGGCAAAGACGTATAAGCACCCTTAGGGAGATCATGGGTTGAGGGCTACGGTTTAGAGTTTAGGGTTTAGGGTTTAGGGTTTAGGGTTTAGGGTTTAGGGTTTAGGGTTTAGGGTTTAGGGTTTACTTTGTACGTCTACATAGTAAGCCGGCTTTGAAACAGAAAGCCTATACGCCGTGCCTAAGGCATTAGGGCGCACTTCACCTGCCAGGACGACGAGCTTGTGGACACTTTGCCAGCTCCACCACAAGGTGTCGATGCGAATCCAGATTGGTCCATACTCCTTATTCAATGAACATCCCGTAAGGGTCTTGGGGGCAGGGTCCCTCAAGCCATCATGAGGAGCTCAATACCCCGTAGTTAAAGAAGGCCCTTTAAGCTGTAGCAAGGAGCTCTGCACAGCATTTTAGGGAGCCTACCTGCCCTTTGATGAATGGGTTGTACCTTGAATGACAAGAAGATTTCTTATGTAGTTAGAGGCAACATCCTTACTTGTGAGGGCGCCTGGGCTCCTTTGCAAATTGCCATCCGGGTATACCGAAGGTGCCGTAATTTGCTAGACTAGGGTTTTGACAGTATTTCTTTTAAATTGGTTTAGGGGTTGGGGTTTGGTTTATATAGGTCCACCCGAAACCCTAAGCCCTAAACCTAATAAAGGTGTTCAGGGCTTGGTGTGTTTTTGGCTTTTATGTTCTATATAAGTTGTAGAACGTAGGATTCAGCGATCTGTTGTTTCGTTGGGCTTTGGTTCGTAACCCTGAGGCTCCCACTATGCCAAGGGCCTTGCAGAGCCTAAACCCTAAACCCGAATCCCTTACCCCTAAACCCCCAACCCTTAAATCCTTAAACCTCAACCCTAAACCCTAAACCTAAACCCCAAACCCTTAAACCGTAAAACCCTAAACCCGAAGCCCGCTTTGGTTATTTGTTAAGGGGCGCGGTAAGACACAGTGCTACTTGTTGGGAGCCTACTGCAGGCGGACACGAAAGAGTCGAACCCAACCTTGAAAAACAAACGAAGCCCCAAACCTGAAGCACTGATCCCAAGGCTCTAAACCCTAACCCCGAAACCTTATAAGCCCGTGCACTGGAGGTGGCACAGCTTCCGGACTAGAATTCAGGATTCAAAAGCTTAGGGTTTAGGATTCAGGCTTTAAGGGTTTAGGGTTTATAGGGTTTTGACAAGAGTTCGCCGATCCTCGACTCAAACAGTCTAGGGTTTAGCTGGACCCTCAAGGACCTACCTTTTTAGGGTTTCTCATCATGCTTTCTTTTTATAAGTCCTTAAAAAGGTAGGTTATTTGGGGTTCAAGATGGGTTTGACAAAGGTCTGAGTACTTAGCAGCCTCATCGCGTTACAGTCCGGGCAAATGTCCTATCCGGTTTGCAACCTTGATTATTCGGGCTACGTATGGCCCCAAACGAATCCTACTTACTCGGTACCATGATCCTTCAAGTCATCAAATAATG